TTTGTACCAGTATTTAATACCATGTTACGTTCTAAATACCATCATTGAAAATTTGAACTTATCTTGAATATCACATGAGAATATTTTTAAATAGCTTAAAATCTAGGTATTGCTAAAGGTTCAGTTTTTCTGGGAAAAAAAACGTGTAATAATGAAATATAATTGTACAGCATAATAATGAAAAATAGCTTTTCTAGTTCCAATAATAACGCTTTAGTCGGTTGTTTTAGAAGAAAGCGTCCTATTCTATACTAATGTATAGGGTATCAGAGCGGACAAGTGGACCCTGAGAGGTTGAATTAAGATAATTCTTTAAAATAAGATTTCCAGTAAGCTGGGCCTCACTGTCATAAGAAATTCTATACAACATGTTCTGAGAAATAGCGAAACCAAAAACTGTCATAGACAGAACTTTTTTTTTTAATTTTTTATTTTTTTTTGTTTTTTTTTAATTTTTTTTTAAATTTTTTTATTTTATTTTTAATTTTATTATTTTATTATTTCTACCTTAGAGATTATTTAATCGGAACTTAAATATAGAGATTATCTGTACAAGGTAACCTTACTAACGAAGCCTAGAAAAGCGTCACTGGGTAATGCTCACCAAAACAAGCTTTCAAGTGCCGTAAGTTCTACTCTGGCAAAAAAGAGTGACACTAGCCGACATTTTAGAGATGTTGTTTTGCTGGAACAAAGTCAAACGATACTAGGCGGGCGTGGCAACGCCAAGCGCTAACTAGACATTCGTGTTTGGTACGCATTCGGCTGGAGATTCGCGACAAAACACATCCGTACGTATGTTTCAACCGGTTTATCCGGATTATTTGCCTGTTCACCTAATCAGTGTCGCACGAAGTAGTCTTAGGAAACTGCAGCCACGCTGCCATGATGGACCCTGAAGGTGTCCCTTTCCTGTAATGAATTTCGAAATATCACTTTCTGCACGTTCGACACGTTTTCGCTGTTCTTATGAACACAACGCTGAGCAAACCCTCAATTTGCTAACTAAATAAGCATCTGCTTTTGTTTGAAACATGTTATTTCCAAGTCTGCTTCCGAAGCTTTTTCTGGTCGCGTGGACCCCGGAGGAGCGGTGACTGCTGAGACGTGTAACGTTTGCGTTGCACGTCAGCCTCTATAAGGATTATCGGTAACTTCAGTCCAAGGTAAAAACCAGGACAAGTCTGAACCAGTAGATAAGAGTAGATGAGTTCGGTGCAGAGCCGCTGTGAAATCTGTCGCTTTGCAACACGCAATCATGGTAGAGATTCTTCTAAAAAAAAAAAAAAGCGGGAAAGCCTGACGACAAACAGCTTTATGTAGTGTCTTGTACAAATTATGACTAATTGCAGTAGCAAAGCCAATGAAACGATCAATTCGGTTACGATAAATATGCAACGCGATTGAGAGCTGTAAAGGAATATGTTGGAATGGGCCACAAAAAAAAGGGGGCAATTACTACGATATTTTCCGACTATGGTTTTTATCGCCTGCTGCATGCTCTTCAAGTGGGATTCGAACCTATTTCTTGCTCTGGGTCAATCGACAAAACACTAGACTTCTAAAAATCATGTAGCTAGTACGGTGTGTTATTGATTAATACGTATGAGTCAGTTTTCAAATCTGGAATCAACGTTTTGCAGGCCTATTGTCTAAGAGTAATTGGAACGATAGGTTGGCAAAGTTCTTTCTAATTGCGTGGGTAATCATCATTCCCCACCGACGTCCGATTCTTCCTCTGGAATGGGGTTTGACAGTGTGCATAGGTCTATAAACCCTCTAGGTAGTTTTATTTAAATTACTACTTTATTATTTTATGTGAGCTTCTGTTCACGCCGCATAATACACTAAATAGCTACGCTGTGATTTATAGAAACTCGATAGTCTTGTTTATAATAGAACTTTAACGCAAATTAAACTTCCGCAACTGAAGGCTATCCTTAGGGGGCGCTGATTCGTCGTTGTTCCCATCGGAATCATGCGTATCTTCTTCGCATTTTGTAAACACGTGATAATCATGCATTTTTATCCACACCAGATGATTAGTTACGAAGAGAGTATTAGGTGCTTTACATACATTGGTCTTCTTCTGCCTTTCTCTAGGGAGGGCCGTACAAAACCTGCGCTGCTGTTGCTATTTCCGGTTTCAAATTCACCTAATCTAATTTGGTCCAATGTTTTTGGGCCACACGTTTCTTATTCTTTCTTAGACTTTCTAACGGATTTTGTTAATAAGAACTCATAGGTCTAGCCCTGTTGAATTCGACAACTGTCCGATTAGCAAGTCCTCGCTAAAGAACATCACACAAATCACCCCTAACCTTCCGAGGAAATTACACAATTTAATCTGCAAAGAATAATTATATGTTTCAGTAATATTGATGTCTAAAAATGATCTCGATAAGTTAGATGAAGTTGTTAATACAAGTTAGTTAAAAAAAAATTAAAAAAAAACATGCGAATTTTTTAGTACTATCCGAACTTATGCGTTCAGTGAAGGGGGTTGCATCCGTACCCACGTATTATTGGATTAAGATTGATGATAAGCAGCTTATGGTTATTAGCTGACTTAGTAGTACATATATATATATTGCACCGATTAAATTGAGACGGTTCGCTTGCGGTACCCTCGAATGCGTCTATCCGAAGCCATTGCTATTAAATCAAAGTTCGTTGCAAGTACAAAAACTAAAGTCGTGCACACTAAAACCTGACTTAATAAGAAGAATTTTCGGTTACCCTAAATCGACAGGATACAGTATTACAAGTAAATACGAGCCTGTAGAAGGTAGGTATCGATTCCATTAATACGCAACAAAAAATCTATCTCAAATAAAAACAAACGGTGCGGATTCCAAAATGAGTCAATACCGTTTAAGAATCCGCATTTTTGGATCCTTCTGTTTTTATAATGGTGTTATGTTCATGTGAGTATGGCCAACGTGTTGCTGATTGTTCACGGAAACCTTAGATACATGCCATTTAGGCCAAATGCTCTATGAGAAGAACACTAAGCCACAAAATTCAGTTGGTGTCGTCTGCTACCCAGTAGTTCTGTTATAAATGAAGTATTACGCTGTCTTGTATTCCTCCCTGAACAAAGACATTTTTCATCGATGCGAAAACTAATTACAAAAACAATCGGAGTATAACCCATATTTAAACCCATTAGGTGACTATATAGTAGGTATGACTGATTTACCGGTTTTGGTTATCGTACTTTTAGTGTAATATTAGAGACTTTAAAATGGTGTATACGTACACTTCTATTTCTAAAGCTCTCAATCAAAAAGTAAAATCATATGTCATAGTTGATATTTTACTAAAGATAATTAAGAGTTTATCTCTTCCCTTTATATATATATATATATATATATATATATATATATATATATATATATAAATAAATTTAGTAACTAGCACCCGTCTGTAAAAAAGTATTTAAGTTGACACTTCGCTACGAAATTTTATACGCAACTAGATAAGTGATCATGATGAATTGAAGAATTGATCAAATCAAAAGTTGTGTGTCGTAGCGCTTTCTCACAAAATCGAGACGTACGCTTAATAGCCAAATGTAACAAAACCTTATTAGTACCTCCAAAGGTACTAATTATGAACTCAATTTTCGACCTATTTATAGCTAGGTTGGTATTCATATCATTACGTGACCTATATATTTACAACGTATTATTCGGGAACAAAAATATGAGTACGGAAAGATAAAGCATAAAAGGACTTTCGGAAACATAAAAGAACAGCAAATTTTGCGAAGGGTAAAATTATGCTATCTTCATCTCCAAATTTATGACCCACTGTGAGCTGTAAAGAGTTCGCTGATCCTTGACCGACTTTCAGTCTAGGGTGTCTCGCAGCTTCCAGCTTTAGTTGACTTTGGACATTACTACGACAGCCGTCAAATAAGTTGTATCCTTTGACTTCACGTCGCGTACGTCCAGCTAGAAAAAGAAATAATGCCTCGTGGCTGTGAAACAGCCATTTTGTCATAGTTGTGGTTGACGATTTGTCAGTGCCTCTTCTTCAAAATGAACCGCCTTGGCCGTATTTCGAGGAAAAACTTAGAACGCCAACCCTATTACTCTAAGAGGCTCTTCACAAAAGTTTGCCAAGGAAAGATCAGCTGCAAAAAGGTCTTGAAAGATCGGCCTTTTGCTAGCGGTAAAATAGAATATTATATATAGTTTCTGTGTTTTTCGCTCATGGCTTAAATTTATCTTGGAAGTTTCCATGCATGGTCATCACGTTTTTATCAAAAAATTTTATACGGTTTCACCGCTGATTTCCTATGCTTTGAAACTAGAGCCATACTGAGATACGAAGGCCCGGTAATGTTGAAGTGGACATTGACTAAGAGAGCGCAAATTGAGAACCAGTTCAAGTGCTGTAGTTTTTCTTTTTTATTTGGGATATGAATCTCACATGGGAAAAGTACTTCCTGTTCATGGCTTTATTGAGGATATCGACAGTTCTACATGTTGTAGGCCATTCGAACGACTGCGTGCTGGGATAATTTTTCCACCAGAATCTTAGATCCGCTAGTATGTGCGAAATATCATAGTCGTATCATGCGTGCACCAACCAAATGTCATAAAATCCGTACATGCTCCCGTAGCAAGGCCCATATCCCACACGACAATACAGCCAGCAGACTATTAGCAAAAAATATTTTCCGAACTTTCTTGTCTAACTTACATAGGCATGAGTCATAATCACATTTCTGCACGCTTTATTCTACTTGCAACAGTGATGCCTTTTAACGAGCCTTACTAGACACCATGGCCTAGCGGTTAAATTACGGCCGATTTGTGGAATGATATAGGGACATTTTTTAATGCATCCTTTTCCTTTGCGAAGTATTTCCTTTACTTGGTTCTATCTGATTTTGCATATACAACCGCCTGCTTCGTAGGAAGCAATTGCTGGTGAAAAAAAAATCACAAATCATAAACTTTTTTAATTGAACATTTGGTTGGACTTAGGTCATGGCCTTTCTACTGGACGCTCATGTGAGAACGGACGTTTCTTCTCATTGCCGATGACAATTCTCGAAAAGAATGGCCATTGTGAACGCGCCAGATACCAGACAAGACACTGAGAAGCAGCGGTAGGTCGCAGTTCCTTATTGGATTCAGGAAATTCATAAGGTATCCAAGCACTAAATTTTTGTGCAAACCTAAGGGACTTAGAATGGTTGACGACCGTGGTACAGCTACACCTAATTTGTTTGGCCAATTTTCGAGTTGCTTGCAGGTGTTTTGTTAAAAATTTCTTTTATTTTCTAAAACGTCAGGTTTTTCTAAGATATTTTTAGGTAGTCATGAAATTTAGGCAGAGTAAAGAGCATCCATCAAATCCCGTATATCGTTATCAAACTTGGCAAACCACCCTTGAACAGTTTTTTGAGCGACGCCGCCATACATTACCATACATAAAGCAAGTGTCTCGGCTATTTCAACCGAGTTTTGGGCTCGACAAGACGTATAAAACAGAAGGTGGCCAAAATTTACCTGTTTTCACTTGCAGTATACATTTCTAGGGAGTTCCTTTTCAAATTAAAGCTGCACTTGAAATAATATACCGTTAAGACTTTTCGAATGACGTGCTAGAAGTATACAGCAAGCGAAAGGAAAAGGGAAGTTTTTAAAGCATGCAAACTTTCTTTTCGAGTTAATATTTCAGCAAATATAGTCGTCCTGGGTTATAAGAAATTGCTTACGTCAAAAATTACGGGCCAGTATCTCAGTGTTCTATAGCTTATACTGTCTTTCAAAAAAATGTTGACACAACGTCACATTTTGAAATGTCAGGAGCAAAGATCATGAATCATTTCATCCGAGACACCTCGGTTTTGTTACACACCAGTTCACCTGCATACAATTTTTATAGATGCGGCAAGACCGAACACGTGCGCCCACACCTATGTGCCATAGTGTTTCAAGCATAAACAGAGACCTATCAAGGTGTAAAGCACCTTGAATACGCTAATCACCCTAAAATTCATCGCGCAATTATAGGTCACCGACACCATGAAAACCTGCGGCCCTTCGTAGGCGGCATCACGAAAACGGAATGACGCCCTCATAGGAGCAACTGTGAGGTTGAAGGTGTTCCGCTTCCTTCTGCCATTGTAACGAAAGGCTCAGTACACAAATGACTTGATTTGGTGTATATATAATGAAACGCTTTTTAGATGTTTATGTTTGCTTGTATAAATCAATTGTCTTATTGTTCGCCAGTCTGGGCGTGCTACCTAAAAAAGCATCTTAACCTCTTTGAAGGCATTTAGACACGTACTCTTAAAAGGTCTTGCGCACAAGAAGAAAACAAAGTATCCATTTCTTCCCCCTTGCATTTGTTAGAATCTAAAGGGTAAATGACTTGCGAGCAAAACGTTAAACAAACAAAACCAGAATTGCCCAAAAGAATAGCTCAAACTAAACAGATACGTAATATCTGTGCATGGTTGCTATCCAGATAAATGGCCTATACACAGTACTGTTGCGTGTCACGGCCTTATGACTGTAAGTCCCCCCTTTGGCATAATAAAAGTGCATTTGAATCTGTTATTCAGGCCATTGCTAAATCAAAATAACCTATTCATTTTGCTACAGCTGTCAGAACTTCATTACAGCCCACTATCCCGTACGTGGCAATCAAATAATTATATCCTAGTAAACTCAACATATATACCAGCATTAGTAAAACTTTAATATTGATACACCGTTGCAAAGCCAGCGTTACGATAAAAGTGTATTAATTTTCGTCATTAATAATCTACGACCGTAATCATTTGGCTCGATTCAGCAGCATTGTTCCATGATCTACTTTTAATATGCGACTTAGATCAGAGTCGGTTTAGGGATGTCCTATGCGGAAAGCACCCTACTTGCTCTAAGATGAGCTTTCTAACAAACACTGTGAGATTATTAGGCACTGTTAAGCCACACAGTGATATCATCAAGTACCTGGAGAAGTGCTAAGGCTCATTCAAAAATTTTGCCTCGGCAAGAGTTTCTGTAACCAGTCAAAGTTAAGTTAGAAAAGTCTTTGGTATTTAGGAAGGTGAGTGATTAAAGACCAGAGCGGGCCTATCTGTTCCTCTCTCGGCTGTTGTCTTTAGATTCATCAACCTGCGATAAGTGGGGGCTGCGATTACGATCGCTCAGGGATCATCACGTAAATCACATTTCAGGGAAATTCTGTGCCTTAACGAAAATCTACGCTCGTGGGTACCAGTTCGTAGTTTGCACTACTATAACATTAAGGGCTCTAAATTATGGTTAGCTATCTACTGACCGTTTAGTCAAAAAGACAGTTTCCATGAAAGATAACACTCATTATATTTCAAACGGCTCTGTGTGTGATATTCCCTAAGCATAAATCTACGATTGGCCACGCAACGAAGCACCTTATAGTCATTATTCTTATTCTGAATATATTTCTATTCTGTTCCTCGAGGCCCAGTTACAGCTAACAGAATGGCCGGGGTATTTGTAGAGATGTATAGTCTATATACTAAAATATATGTGCATCATACGTTTTTTTTTTTATTGATGTCTCCGCATGAATGAACAGCATTCGCGCTCGTACGTGTTCTCACAAGCCACGCACATGGAACGAGTCTTAGCGTGTCCTTTTTGCCTAGGTATAACCGCCTGTTTAAAGGCTTTCCTGCCTTTTGGGCTGAATCTTGCATACTGTATTGGGTTTGCTTGCATACTTCACAGAATGTTGGCCAGAAACCTCGTTTATCTTGCTTGTCACATATGTAAACATAGCGCTGGTGTTGTCTTGATGCAGACGAATTTCGTAGTCTGCTTCTGCACGCGGCTGGTCGTCCGATGTCTGTGGTATTTTCATTGCTGATGGGCTACAACGTGGTGGATTCATCGGTTAGCTAGTTGGTTGAAAAACCAAATAGTCGGAAATAAACATATTTGTTCGAGTCCTTTTTAGTCAGTTGTACCGACCGGCCAGTCATAATGTATTATATCTTTACAAAAGAGTGTTAGCTCATTACAGCTGTTGTGTCTGATATAAACAACAACGGTTAATCAATTCTTTGTCTAGTGCGCAAGTATCGAAAACCTTATCACATCTATATATATTTGCGTAAGATCTAATCTATAGAAGATAATTTTAGACCCTGTATAGATAGCATCGTTAAGTACGTTTTTACATTTAAACGAACCCATGGTACACGATAAAGAAAAAACGCGTTCTGTTTTTATTCATGCTCAAACACATTAGGAAATGACCACGAAAACAACGATCCACAGAATAAAGTGATCTACCTCTGCTGCTTAAGCAGAGATAGAGAGATTTTCTCAGCGGGGACTCCGATTCTCGAAACAGTATATTTGCACAATATTTGCGCACATAAATAAATACACTCAGCTTATCATTAAAATGACAAAAATTTAATAAGGGTTTTTCTTAAATGCCCCTTTTCCCTTTACCTTTACCTTTCTGCTGTCTGTATACCCCCTATGTACTTTTAAACTTTCCAATTCTAAAAAAAGACGTTCAGTTCCTTGAGTTTAAGTTTCAAATAAAGTTTTGAAAAAGAAACGCCTTTTTTCAAACTGCATTACTCTTTACTGGTCGAGGGAATGGACTACGAACACTAGATAACCGACAAGCATTTTGAAACTTGGAAATTATTCAAATTTAACCTGTGTAATAAACAAAAGATACAAGGTTTTTAACTGTTTTTCAGTATCTCACTTGGCGCCGAACAGTGTACAGCCACAGTGATACATCACTATGGGAAATACTTACTGGTGACGAAAAATGGTATTTCTAAGTAAACATGACGCTGAAAAAATCGCTCCTCGAGGCACATCTAAGTCTAGAATTTAGCCAAATCTCCATCCAAAAAAGATCATCACCTGAATTTGGTTGGACGAAAAAGGTGTTCTATGCTGGGCAATGCGTGACAAAGACAGGAACATCAACAAGGATTTGTGTATGGCTCAATCACATTGAGTTAGCGAGGCTTTCGAACAGAATAATTCCGACAGACAAGGCAAAGCATTCTTCTTCTCCGGGCACAATACCATGGCGATAGTCGAAATTGCCGCGCAAGAACTTGAGTGAGAAGTTCTTTGCAGTCAGGATCACTGACTTTTCCAACTTCTACCAAATGAAATAGGGTACAATACATTTGACAATAAAGAGGATTCGAAACATGGTCTGTAATGCCAAACAGTAAAATTTCGGAACAGAATAAAAAATAAATCGTTGAGAGACAAGAAAAAGAAAATTGACGGTGAGTACGTAGGGCCAAAGTAAAGCGCTGCGCCTCGCGCTAGGCCGAAAATCGTCGTTAGTCTTTTTTGTAAAGCCGACATCACTTGCTGCCATTACCAAGTACCATGGCGTCCGAAGATCGATGCAACCGTATACATATTTTGCAATTTCCCGTCTTTGGCAAGATACGTTTGTTTAAAACAGTAGTCGTTCGAGTGATGCATCACTTTCATTAGTTTGTTTATGGTAATGGCTTAGCAGTTGCCGCAAGTTATAGATACGTTCATCTCGTGTACGGCAACTTCAATTACAATAGACTCACTGAAATGACTGTGAACGTTGTCAATGAACTACGATATTCTCTTGACAGGGATCGTCTCAATTTTTCTAATACTTTTTTTTTTTTTTTTTTCCCTATTTTACACGTACCGAAGCCTGAAAAAAAGCAATAAAGATTTTATATAAAGAAATAGGAACTGGGAGGTATAGTAATATCTGAAGCATTTCAATAATCGCGATTTCAGAACGCGAAGTTATATCGCTAGTGTAAGAGACATCGTTAAGCCACTTGATGTGTCGAATCATGACGTTTTTTTGTAATAATATAGACTACGCCGCAATATCACGACCCTAAAAGTATGAGGTTTAAGAAGCTCATGGAGCTATATATCTATTGCGCTCAGAAAGGAAATTTACGCGCTATAATATTTTATTTTTATTTGAGTTTCCCTGCTACACAATCGCTTTCGTGAAGTACAGTCGGTAAATACATATTAGCCATCTGAAAATAAAATGATCGATCTTTAGTGAATGGTGTTCAAAAGTAGAGCTTGCGATACGATGTCAACAAGAGTCCAAATACTATCTTCTATAAGTTTTCTCTCCGGTACGGAAGCTCTACTGATGATCGTAACTGCAACAAATATGCACGGATCTTAAAACGATCCTTTAAAAACGAAAACGTAAATCGTAACTTACGACTACACGTTAGTATACACACAATATATGTGCCTTTCATATTTTTTTTTGATAAAACTAACTTATTTCCGCTATTTTTGTAAAGAATTAAGAAATTTAATACGGTTGGTTTTTCCTTTAGACTCAATTTCTTTGAGTATATAAATATGAGGAAAATTGTTATTTCTGAAAAGTCGATTTGTTGTTATCAGTATCTGTTTTGTGTTGCTTATGTGGGCCCGCAGCAATTAAATAACTCTTATTTTTAGATTCGGAAATGTCTGTAGAAGACACCTTGTTTTATCTACGGGAGATGATACTTGCAACGTTTCTAGAGGTAATAACATCCTGTGAAGTGGAAGAAAAAAACTCCAATAAAAAAGCAGCGTATTAATTATTTCACTTCCAATGAAGACAACTGGCTCTACTGGGAGTTAAAATCTATTGAAAAACTAAGCGGCCTATGAATCAGACTATGAGCCAAAAGTAAAAAAAGGACAATATAATATTATATTGTATGAAACTTAAAGTCCCCTCTGTTTCTTTTTTTTTTTTGTCTATGTACTAGCTAGCTAGCTAGCTAGCTAGCTAGCTCATCTGCAGCGTTTTTTTGCGGAATCTCTCTCAGTGTTTGTGCGTAAAAATTAAAGCTGAGGGCGGAAAAGGGTGAGGGGAAGGAACGTATCGATCAAGATCGACATTTATCTATTTTACTCTTTCAACTTTTACATTGAGCTTATTTACTCGTACGACATAACATAAACAGAATATAGTACCACCAGACAAATGTTGTGCAATGAGCGGAGTTACGTACCTTGAAGTTCTGAGGCCTCTTGTTCATTGTCTGAAAGATTAAAATGTCCGTGAATTAGCCGAGCAATCGATAAAAACGATATGCTAGATTTCGTATTTCTGCATAATCCATTTGTTTGCAGACGCTTTAAAGGCTTATCATGTCAGGTGACTACGGATGAAGATGGTGAACCTAAGCAACAGCTGGAAGCTTTTACGTTGAAAAAAAAGAGCCTGACTACCAGGGTCGATGAAGAAAGAAGTACCGTTTTTGTTTATGTCATTTTGCCGAGCTAAGCTTTGAATTAACAAGCAAAGCCAGGCCCTAGGATAATAAGTGAATAAAGTCGTGTATAAATTCAAATAACATCGTTTGTACAATACAAAAGTATTTTTGTCCTAGTTGCCCTCCGTTAGTGCAATACAGGTGACGAATCGAAATGGCATTTACTAAAATTAGCCATTGGAAAAGCAACAATAGTAAATTCAGGTTTATTGAAATTATGTGACGTTTCAATACGTACTTTTATGTTACTGCTGCTACTACTACTACTACTACTACTACTATCAAGCACACAGTCAACATGTTTAACCGATTGTTCTAAACGACGGCCTTTTTCAGCGGCGCTGGAAAACATTTCGAAAATGCAGAATTAAATATTCCCATGGAATTAATCGGAATTTCTTACCATGACTCGGCGAAACGGTACCTGAATTATGGTAGGCTAACATTGTATTCGAGTGTAGATTTCGTATTGTATTTATGCGCCATTGTCGAAATACGATCAGTGATCAGACAAAAGCGAAAACCTCATTTTACAGTAATACCTTTACATCACAGTCCCTTAAGGACACCGCACACACAGACACTTTTTACTAGGACCTAAAGGGAATGAGAAGCTCAGATAAAGAATCGCAAAAGGACACTGACTGGTAATAGAGCAACAGCTAAGGCACCGCTGGAGATGATCGTACCTTACACAAATCCCTGAGCCTTATTTTTTTCCTACCTAAATAGACTTTTGTTCATGTATATTTATGTACATATACACCATCGTCTCCCGTCGTTCCAGAGCTAGACAACAACTAGATCTTCATCCTCATACGTGGACGTACCGTGAAGAAAATTTCTAAGGTAAACATAGCCGACTTTATGAAGAAGATTGGCGGATTTGTGATCTTTCTAAGAAGCAGCAAGCGTCCACCTGATGATGATAGCGCACGAATACGAACATCTATCTATGCGACAAAAGAATTTTGAGTCTCTAAGGTTATATTGTACCATAAATCAACAAATAAGTTATCTCTCACATAAAGCCATTCTTCCAAGTGGATAAAACGTTAATATCCATACAAGAAGATAAACTTACATTCAACGTCCATCACATACTCGTCGCCTGTAAGGGAGAGTAAAATATAATTTAATTCGCTTCGTGACTTAGTGGCAGATGTAGAACGAAGATGCGTATTTACAATAGGCTAAGACGTGGAGCAGATCAGCATCAGCCACAATTCCATAGCGCAGAGATAAGGGGATATCATTGCCAGCAAAGTCGGAGAAATGGACATTTCCTAAGTAAACAAAGTCTTACTGTAAAACGACGACAACATCTTATCGATAGACTAATTTGCTTCAATCTGTGCCATTAGGCACCTTTTTTTTTTAATTGACAAGCTATACCTACTAAGGTCTAGTAACTAGTCAATGAGGTTTACATCTAAACGATGTGCAGTTCATTGTACATTTCGAGATGAACATAATCTAAAATAACTAAAAGAGCATTGAATATAACTTTTATAAGATGAAAAGTTTACTGTTATAGGAACACGGTTTCTCGTCATCCTCAGGAAAAACATTAGGCGAGCGACATTATACCTTCGTTTATACGAATGCTGATGTTAAGTTCAGCGAATTGTTCATCGAAAGGTTTTCTGCGGAAGTATCCAAGAGAGGCATGGCCTGAATGGCGCATTAGAAGTGAACTTCGCCGTCGGGGTTCCAATGTATGAATCCATCCGCAACCACGAAGCTTAAAGTGGACCAAACGGTTATTCAATAGCAATATAGATGATAGTATTTTTTCGATAATTGTAAGAGAAATACAGGACGATTCACTAAGCAACACTCTGCAACATCCCGTCGGAGAATAAGCTCGATCGCTGAAATTTATAATCCCTTAGTAAAAGTCAACATTTACTATCAACACAAGTGAATCGGGCCGACTGCTTAAAAACAACGACTGCACAAAAACGTGTACGTATCTGCATTTGGACAGAAACACTACGATAGTTTTGTGTGGATATATTTACTAGTCTGTATATATAATGTGTTTGTATGTACTGGCTATGTGAGTTACAATATTTAGTATGTTTACGCTTACAACGACTTGTTGATCCATAAGGCAACCATGCTGGGGTATAGTAAGCTTCCTTAACTGGCTTTCTCCCATTTCGATGTTTACGAAATACGGGACCGACAGGCCCATTGACGCGTCCTTTTCGCTCGATAGCATTTTGGTGTTATGAAAGGTAAACAGAGTGAAACATTGATTTCTAGGGGGCTCGTCGAAGCTCGGGGCAGCAGTGTTTAAGAACCAGCGGATAGTTCCATCGGTGACATTCTCGAACACGTTTCGGCCGCAGTACTCCTCCAGGGAGACTGTCCAAAAAGATTAATATCCATGCCTATTATTATAATATTCGGGAATTATCAGACATTCACAAATAGGTAAGGTTCACTTTTTAGGTCACCGAATGTACTCGCTCGAATGCGTTACGAAGTCGTGGCGAACGCACTTATATTAAGAAAAAAAAAAACACATCTTTATTTCTATACGCGTGCTTACCGTTATGATAATTTCGTCTGTTGAAGTACTCCGCTCGAGTAGGTATATTAAATGGTTCGATCATGACGGTCATCCAAAATGTCGAATTTTCTCCAGTGACGCCGAGACGGTAGTACTTGAACCGAACATCGCTCACGAAACGCATACTGAACTCGGATGGGCCTATTAGACTGCGAATCCCATCATGAGACACCAACTAAATCATCAGGAAACACATTGTATGTGTGCTAGTTTGGGAATAATAGCAGATACTATTTAATTCTCTACTAAGTTCTGGTAAGTTACCTGTAAGTAAAATATTATTTTTACCTCATTGTGTACGGATGAATGATTTTTCTAGTATTAACAACAATTTACCGAATTGACGATTTAATAAAAAAAAAAAAAAAAAACAAAAGAACAAGAATTAGAAAATTCGCTAAGACACACTGACGTGAGCCCCAACCTACATCTAAATTTTCAATGCAACACACGTATCTATTGTATGCGGTTGTATAATCCAGCAAAAGTCTATCAGAAAAACGCCGTTTTCACTATATTGTGATAGGTACTCTAACGTCATCCTAAAGTTTTTTTCCACTTTTCCTGTAGCACTTCGTATTTTTGTATCCTCTGCCGTAAGTGATACTTGCGAGTTGTCTCCCCTTCTAGCGTTTAATAACTGAACTACTGCCGTGGCCAGGGGCTTCTTCATATCTGTGGCGGGTACTTGTTTGACGTCATTGTATCCTATGATCACTGTCTTTGGCCCATAATGGTTCAGCTTGCTTGCATACACTCTGAAAATGCAAAGCTTTTACCTGGTCTGGTCCTACCTTTCCTCAATTTTTGGTCCTTAATTTTCTTTATGTGTGAATTCTTCGTGGTCACAATAGACCAGCGTTGCTTCCAGCGCTCCGGCGACATGACATCCCCAGCCTCTACTCTGAACCGACAGGACGGGTTCGAGCGCACCGCAATGATCTTTGAATTTCAGTCCATTGCGCGCGAATTTTTTTCATTCGAAGTCATATGCCTTCGGAAATTATCTCTTTTTGTATTCGAATATTATATTTATAGAAAATAATTTCTTTTAATTTTTCTTCTGTTGCATTTTTATAATAGTCATATGTTTTACGAGAGCATTTCAACCGACTCGAAAATATAGTATAATTAATTATAATGTGATCAGATATGACACGTCTACCACTTTAGCTTGTGACAAAATTTGAAAATTTTCGCATTCTTTATTTATGTCGAAACACTTACTGCAACTACATAGTGTACAGTCTAACACGGATTTCCTAACGTATTTTTGTTTGCATTTATTAGTTTTCTTCTTGATTACAAAATCGTAATCCCTATGATCTTCGTTTTCTAAAAAGGCCTAATCGTGTATGTTGCAACCATTATTTAGTGTAATATACATATATCCATTAATTAATATATATACAGGTTTCTGAATTTTCGTATTTTTAACCCCGGCAAGCTTTTCCTATATTCAGAATTTTTCACAGCTTTCCAACAAACGGCGAAGGGAACGGACTAGCTTAAATCCCCAGTAAAATGTTTACTTTTCTAAGTTGTTGTACTATATAATTTGGCGCAAATAGCAATTTTTTGATTATGATGATATTACGGAAAAATGTTATGAAATATCTTTGAGTTACACTATGCAAAGCAGTGTTATCAACCGGGTTTAAGGTAGTCTAATGTGTAGCCACAGAGACCCAGGGCAGTCGACTCGTGAAAGCTCAAAAACGGCTGTACTGTCTGTAACGTCTGATACGACATAGTATCAGACCTTTTAATTATATTTGAATCATTTGGCCACTAAATAACTGACAGTCAAGAAGAATCACATCTTTTAGCTACGTAAAATCTTTACGGTCCGAGATAATTTGATGTATAAAATAATTTGAATCTGTATCTATTTTTGTAAAAATAACTCGTGTATATTTAGTAATTTCTTTTGAAAATCTCTTAAGGACAGATGCACAGATAACCAATTCCCAACTGAGTTATTTGCATTGGGATGAGGGCACCGCTAGCAAGAGTGAGCGATCGAAGATCTAAAGCGAAGAACTGCTTCTAACAAAAAATAATACGTTCACTTTGTCGGTATGTTATATATGGACACGCTCTTGACTATATGGCTCTATATAGACCTTGTGCAAATCTATCCTTAAATGCTAAATACTTGCTGTTAATATATGTGTTTAGCTTTTTTTCCCCGTTTCAACGTCCGAATTTGAAGTAAATGATGCCGTTTTCGTCGAGAGATTTTACGACAGCAAAAGAATTTTTCCACGTCATCTACGTAAGTAACGATTTTCCACATACGAGTGCAGAGACTATTGTGAAGGCCACTTTTTCCAAATTAACATTATATCGGTGACTACTCTACTTGTATTTATCCAATACTTGCCAATGGCAGTTTAACATCTCTATGTTAAAGTGTAATAATTTACTCTATTTTTAAAAGCATATTGTGGAAACGGCGCCTCCATTTTCTACTTTTCTATAAAGCTATAGTATATAAACTCAATAATCAGCATCCATCGAGAGTCTACTGAAGTTTGTTGAATAGGAATATCTCTTTGAGCACTTCCTATTTAATCGACAGAGGTCGTTAGCTGTTGACACCTCTTGTTACTTTATGTTCCTTGCGTTGCTATATCTAAAAGCTTCATATGTAATTTGCACATGTTCGTCTATATCCGCTGGTGTTTATGGCTGTTTGCAGCTAATCTGAAAAGAATTTAAATCTTGGCGCCACAAATGAAGTTAAATGGACAAGAAAGGCGCTTTTCCTTAGCGCTGTGATTCTATGGCTCGGTTGAGCTGCTGAAGACACTAAAAGTTGAGATCTTGAAAATGCATTTAAGATCGATTCTAAAGTTTTATCTTTGAAAGGGACCGAGTACGACCCCGGCTCGTGAGGAAACTGCACGGTAAGGAAGCAGTTAGCTCACCCTCAAAATAGGGACGCGCAGGCTCTGAGTAAGGGGACGCTAAAATTTTCACTGTGGTCGATTAGAACCCACATATAAGCTTTGGCCGGACTGCAGAAAATACAGGAGCATCTAAATCGACCGTTCAGTGACATTTAGTAGGCAACGATTATCTTAATCGAGCCGACATTTGAGGTCCTCACAACATAACCGATTTCTAACTTATAAGCCGTGTGTCGTAGCTTCCCAAGCGAGAGCTAAACCATCTATCCAGAGGCAGGGAGCTGTTTGCCTCCAAGCTTCTCTCAAACAACCAAAGCGTTACCTCAGTTAACTCCTAACTGTGGATAGCTCAACCGTTCAAGGTAATGCAACAGGAAACAGCACCTGATTGTGGCCAACAAAAGAGGAGTCACGTCCCTGCATGACAAGGGTTTGTAGCTAATGTGGGCTCAGAATTGATGCCTGTCTATAATTTGCGTGCAACACGATACAAATATCTCACTGCCTTGAATTAAAGGCACTATCCTTAAATCTTTTATCCACGGTAGGTCTCATTGTAGATTGACCTGTCTTTGTAAACCCCAATCTGTCCATTTTTTATTATATATCAGCTGATCCTTTACTGAAATTATGTCCTACAACTTTTGACAAAATGTAAGCGGGATTTCGACGGTCAATACGCTGGTAGTTGTTTACCTGCAAGGCGTGTACAGCATTACACCCGCCGTATTGTTGTTGCTGCTGTTGGTCGGCCGCTGGGTCTTTTACGAAGGAGGCATTTCGCACCCTCACTGTAACCCAGAGCTCCTGGTAACCTGACCAACGAAAATGAAGTAATCCATGACATGAACCGTGCCGACCTGTGCTGGTTAAATCATCTTCATTTTTCGAGAGCTGTATTATAAATTTGCTTGTCTCGTTCAAGTTGACCACCATGTTTTCTCCACATAGCTCTTCCAGATAGTCTAAAAAGCAAATCGAGAATATCACAACACTAGGTGTTATTTGAAGCAGGCGTAGCTTCTGAAATTTCGGTTGCAAGGGCTACTCTAAGAGCTTTCACCCCAATGATTAATCCCAATGATTTTTAAACAGATCTATCGAATCACTATATGGGTATTTTCCTCACTGACTTTAGCGTTTTCCAGAGGCATCGAAAAGTTTCGGTTTTGCTGTTGGAAGTTCGTCGAAAATTTCGTGCCAACGTCATATGAGCGTGAGCTCGGAGTTTCGCTAACTTGTTCAGATCTCAATATAAACACTTTTATGATAACACATAGAAAATGTAAACACAATAAAATACATGACAATCCGAAGCTAAAAATAATAAATACACACATGCATGGTACCTTTTTATACATGAATGCCCATTGTACAGTTTATGAAGGAGGTGTCGTGTTGGTGGTACACGTGAAGTGTGTTGGGGGTTTCATCCAGTGCCGAAAACATGCGGACACCTATTTCGTATATATCAATGGCTGTTTCAGTGTTATAATCATTCATTTATGTTCATTTTAATATAACAATAAATTACGATAGCATATCCTGACCATTTTTTTTTCGTAACATGTCATAATCACATTGCACTTACGGCTCAATGTTGAGCGAGGCGTCGTAGTGTTTAATTAGTGGAACTGGGCACCGGGAGCAAAAGGCAGTGAACGGCAATTTTAACGAACTCAATACTTTTTGACAGACCCTTGTCTATTGTGTTTAACTTGAAACTGATAATATAGTCTGAAGGCGTACTAAAAATGTGTTTGGTGAAATTAGAAATCAGTGACAAATTCAGTTACGTCAACGATTTGCCGGACGTTGAATTGAAGGTAACAAACAAAACTGCGATTCAAGCCTATACTTAAAGCTTATTATTATTACTATACAGCAGACAATATTATTCTATAGTCGCATGACAACTAAAAGTTTATGGAAACTTAGTAAGCAGAAATTTCTTCTAGCGTATATGTAATTTCTGCTTATGTTCGCTTATTATAGCTCTTGGACCGACGGTACAAATTTGTACGTATACGCTAAATAGTTTTCATGTTTCTAGTACAGGTAAATTAAAATAGACTTCACTAAGAACCTTGCAATGCCGTTTAAAAGAGTATGTGATAGCGTAAATTAAAAAAAGAATTAAATACCCGAGATAATTAACAGCTGTACTGATTGTAATGGCGCTTTCGCGATTACAACATCAACGCTGTGCACGCTAATGTCTGCGTTGGGTTGTCTTCCTCGTTAGCAGAGGATGCTCACTCTTAACCTTCGATATGTTAAAACTTCCATGAAGCGACCTCGTAGCTGTTTTTGAACTACGCCCTACCAGGCCGACAGTGGAAACGCTGAGACGAATGTCTCAAGACCACACACGGGTGACCAGGCCGAGTTCTAAGCGACACTTACGCCTGTAGTTCCATTTAATGCCTGACAGTTCCTCGCAGCGGCCAAAACAAGATCTTAAAACTAAGCGGTTAGAATGTCCCTCATTTCAAAGGTGGCCCATTTGAGGCACTTCAGGAGGGAAAAGGAGTTAGAAAATTAATATTTTCTGTAGGTTTGAGCACAGTGAACGTTGAAAGGTTCATTTTTAGGCAGATCTGTCAAGACCCGATAAAAAGCTTTCTGGCATTGAAAGCTCGATCTTTATCGCTGACAATTCAGATTTGCCAAGACAGATTTACTTAAAACGTAAGATATGCTGGTCGGCAGTTTTACCTAATTATGAATTCGGGACCTCAGCCGGTATACAGCTTCACTCCTCTAAAGGGTCTCGTGTCGCTAGTGTTATCCGGAATTCGACTTTCTAAGCTTGGCAAATATAAAGGTTTCGGTACAATTGTCGATTATTTTCTCCATTAATGCTTGAAGAACGTTCATACAAACATTTAGCTCAGATCCACTTTATTAAACAGCTGCAGTTCTCAACGGCACCGGAAACACTAAAGTTTATCTGTGCTAGTCCAACGCTCGAAATTCTAAAGCTATAAAAAATCTAATTTGTGTACCCATGCTGGCAGTAGTCAAGAACTCCACAAATACAGGCCAATAATACAATATCCCAATATCAAAGACAGTATATAGAAACACTTAAAACGCTTTACATCATATGGGTTATACAAGACTTGTCGGGTTTCTAAATTTATCTGAAAGATTTGCAAGTGTTTTCAATATGCTACCGGCAATAACAAGTGGCATAATTTCTACTACGATTCCACACGTCATGCACATCTGGAGCACCTACATGTATCATCACGCTCGTGAAAACCTGGCATTCTGCTAACTCCATGGCAGAATTCATGCACAGCAAAGCGAGTGACGACATGCCTGTTTAGCTGCTTCGTCCCTTTCCACTCATTGTTTTTCTCGCACACGAAGCAAAAAAAATTCCCAAAATCTCGTCGAATTTTCGTTTCCAGTTCGTTAAGTGCGTCTTAAAGTTTTTCGTTGCTAGGAGCTCCAAGCAATGACGTTAGTTTTCAGACATCAGTTATAAGTCGACTACGAGATACGTGAAGCGATTTAGGACCGATCTCGATGTGTGGTGGCAATGCTTTAAGAAAAAAGGCTTTCACTAAGTGTAATTGTTTGAGGTTCTCGAGTGTAGAATCTTCTCGAATGACGCGGATCCGATACGTTACAATCGAAGTTACCTCGGGGCCGAGCAAGCTGAAAGCAGGTGCGATGGAGAAGCGATGAGACAAGTTGATCGCTCATACAGCCAGCACTGCCTTCATCGTTGCCGTTCGTAGTGAAATTTCTGCCGTTGCGGGGAAGCGCAACTTCAAGTACAGAAACCGAGTGACGGAAGCAAGAGGCGACCTTACTGTGATACAGGGTGCCAATGAGCGCTGTTCTATTTCTGCTTATAAACCTAATTATCTCCGCCTTGGCCTAGTTTACAGTCAGTCCTAAATCTGTGACTGTTCGGGCCAGAACTTGCCGGACCGCGACCCTGCCCAGCCTATATATCACTAAATCGTGTGCATATATAAAGTGACTGCGATTAATTTTCTCAGCCATTTTATTAGAGAAACTCTTCAGCAAGACGGGGAATAAAGTGGGCTTAGATGATCCACCTGAGCCAGGCCAGTTTTCTCTGTAAAGGACGCGAGTTCGGCCACTCCATCGTCAATGATAATTTTATTCTCGTGTATAATCGAAGCGAGAAGGTTAAGTATATTTATAGGGACACTTAGCTCGGCCAACGTGAGGATAACCTTGTCCCTGGATGTTGAGTCGAAAGCTGCTTTGAAATCGACGAACACTGAATTCCGCGGCGTAGCTCATACTCTTTTGGCGTCGACCACCAAAATTCTGTACGTTTCTGTAAAGCATTCACTCCGGTACTGATGTAGGTCTGTTGGAACGACATGTGCGCTTCCTAATAGTCTAGCCTCTTAGCCAGCAAGCTGAAAAGCAGCTTATAGTGAACACTTTTCTTTTCTATTTTTCGCTGTAACGACGGCGCGGTTGAACCCCCCTTCCTTTAGGGATCACTAGCAGGGTAGCATCCCTCCATTGTGGTAAATGCATAACAGTACACAAACACTTATTAAACAGTTCCGTCGAGTGTGGTGGTACAATAACGGCGCATTTGAGATGCTCGTTGCAGACCCTAGGTGGATCTGTGTTGCGTAGGCTCTTAAAATTTTGCATTACTTAGAGGGATATTGCGTAGTATTAAAATCCATTCTTTCCACGCTGGGGCAGGAAGGGCACCACGCGTGGTATCGTATCCCTTGGCATAACCATCTCCGACAAGTAATTTATGAAGGTCGAGAAAATTGTCAGGCAAACCGCCGACCTGCCGTAGTACGTTGGCCATTTATATAATTGACAGGTTTCCAATCGCTTAGGGTATCGTTGCTTTTGTGACGTATATGTTTTTTTTTTTTTAATAGATCGTCTTAAAAACGAAGGCTAAAGGGTAGAATTCGGGTTATATCTCGGTTGTGAGCCTGAATACCATTGGAGCTCTCCGAGCAAATTTACAAGTTGCACGACGGCCTGTCTTTCCGGGGAATGAAGGGGCTATGTTCTAGACTGGATAATTTTAACCACATGTTACGCCTAGGCTTTAACATTTGCCACGTCATGTATAGGGAGGATATTGCGGGTTCCAAGGGCTTGTCTGCAGTAGACAGCGCGACGGAGCTTAGCGGTTGTTGTGCGCGCAGTTACAATTTAGTGGGGTTTACCCGTATGGAAGTACGGATGTTTACGCCCGCTGACAGCAAATAGTGATTGCCACTCTGGAACTTTATCCTATCCCTGGTTACGTTCGTTGCCAATATATCGATAGCCGAACTTCCTGCTTGCATTAGGAGAATCAACGTAGGGGTGGGATTACCTACCCAGCAGCTAAAGTCCACGAGTGTGTCTTGAAGTGTCGTAATACGGCTCGAGTTCGGCTAGTCGAGGCGGGCACTAAGGTCGCCGGCAGCGACTAGTGAGAAACAGAATGAGAGGACTACGCTTTTAATGCATTAACAAGTTTCTTGTCCTTGGCATACGTTGATTCCAAGTCAGTCGACCGAACCTAGGCTGCTACGAGGACTGGTTGCTGTCCACGTAATAGAGTGACGTCATTAGGCACAGCGTGAAGTCGCCTTCACGTTGTTGCGCGAGAAACGTGCTAAATTGAAAGGGCTAGTCGCCCAGATCTTCGTTAGCATAAGGATGCCTATGCTGTCCAAGGCTTCCGTGGAGAGGAGTGCCAGAGTTTCAGTCCGTCACAGTTCCACTATGTAACTCCAAGACTCTTCTTAGAATCTAGCCTCGTCGTAAGTTCCATTATTACCCTTTCGAGGGATTACAGTAATTCAAACAGCCGCCTATCGAAACCGGCCCTACAGTCTACAATGTTGCCAAAACCTGCTTCACAAAATCCTCAATCGTTAGAGCGGGTGGGACTCGTTGGCCGTAGTCCAACACTCCGGCTTGATGCTGCCTTTTCCAAGAGGGTTTTTTTGACGATGGTTGCGCTGGGCGGTAATTCGCCCGTTTGAAGCTAACCTGGCCGTTCGAACGTTCGGCTCAGGGAAGCCTGGCTCCCCGGTTGAGCCGGCTGTGTAAGCCCCTCATTGTTGCTGTATCGATTGCCGTTAGGTGAACATCTTCTGCCCCTTTCGGTTGCCAACATTTTTACGCTCACAGGAGGCTTGATTCTCCTATAAACAATCTTCTTGGCCACCTCGCTTTTATAGCTGTACCGGCCACTCTCTACGAATCGGGCGCTGTGATGTGAAGAGCGGAAGAGCCGAAGTTTCGCATTTTCTTGACTCGCTTTGCTCAACAGTATCTTTGCCGTTTTGCAGTCCGAGTCGTAGAAGGGAATGGAGAGCATATAAGCTTCTGATCTGGGTTACGAAGTAATTCTGAAGGATTCTTCACTTTGCTGTTGTTGTTGTTCTTTAATGAGGAACGCCGGTACAGCTGAGTTGTGTTTACAGCTCTTCCAACTCGAAAGGGAAGTGCGATCAGCGTATTCTCGAGAGAAGGACATTTGCTCATAAGCTCTCGAAAATATCAGGTATTTATAGTATTTCCCTAAGGATGTGCCTCGATAAGCACACGGCCCGGACAACAGTCAGCAGCAACCTAACAAAAGGTATATGTTTAGGCCACGGCTGGTTACTAAAAACGAAACATATACTAGTGTATTCTGCCTAGTGAATAGAACTGACGGTATATTAATCTTTGTATTTGCAAATATCCAGGAAGTTTGAGATATCCGGAGCGTACATAAAGAAAACATGCCTTTAACTGACAAATTTTTAAAATATAGTTTTACGTCACGATATTAGTTCGCTACAACTAAGTGAATGCAGGGGAACTGAACTAGTAGATTCTTCAAATGGTCGTCTCAGTTTGTTATTACTGCCCACTACTACAGTCACAGGTTTAAAAAAAAAAAATGTATTTTATTTGTGGTACGCAATACTATAACGAACACATTTTAAGGTCCAATGCCAAAGTCCTTAAAGAACGAAGTGTTTACATTAAGCGTACAGATCCAACAGCTGATAATCGATACTCCTGGTAGGATAACAAAAGAGATGGCATAAAAGATAAATCAATGTAAGTACAGTATAGAACAGAAATTAGCGAAAGGATGGCTGTCTCATCTCGACGAGAGAGTCATTGTCCACACCGCACTGACAAGAAGACCGCTGGTTAGAACTTTGCAGTGCGATGTAGTATCATTTGTTAGGAAGAAATAGATGGTATTAGTTTCTGTAGAATGAGTTGATTTCAAATGGTAAGTAGGGCTTTACAGGTCAATTTTAGAAAAATTATTTTTAATTAGGAAGAGCAGCAAAACAGAATACAGAACAGTAAACGCAAATGTACTGAAGGTAAAAAAAAATCCCTAGAAAAGCTTTTCTCATTGACCTTATATGTGTGCTCTATTGTTAAATAACAATATACAGAGATATTGCTGCTGACTTAACCCGTTCCTCCATAGCATAGGTGCCATATAAATACGGCTTGCATAACTGGATACCTATTTCGGTAAGGGGAAGTAAACGGCTAGCTCAATGAGTAGGCAAAAGCTGCTACGATGCTATAGGCGCATGCGTTTTTTTGTCCAGGCTCTGCCCTGAAAAAACTATCAGTGAAATTAACTAATGATGATGAATATCGTTCGAGTGTACGCATAATAATCATTATTTAGATTTACAGAAAGAACATGCTACCCCGTTCAGAGCACTATTTGCTATAAATGTTTGTCAATTTAATCAGATTGCATTTATTATATAAACTTTCAGCGACAGACTGCCGAATAAACCCCACATTTTATAAGCATTTGCTGGGAATCAGGAAACGCAGCTGAATTTTCGCGAGATGGAATTTCCCTTTATGGTACGGTAGCAAATATTTCGATGCGTCAACAATTTTATCATCCTTGACATTTGCATCGTACGCCGTTCAAATCGTTTCGGAGCTCCTTTTCTCTAACGCTTCTTGTTTGTCTCTGCTGCTGCTGCTGCTGAATCCCGTAGTAGCTTGCGGACTTGGGTGTTCGTGCAGCGTGCTGCACGCGGCGATGAAAAATAGTCTTTTCTATCTTGTGAGATTTGATTGTTATCCATATTTCACAAATCTCGAGATTATTGCTTGCTTTCTCCATCAAGGTGACACGCACGCACGTACATATAACGAATTAGATATTCAGAATAGATTCTGCTGCGCCCCATTACGAATTTTCGAAGTACGTCATGCTAAGAGGCACTTACTTAAGAGTGCGAATTACCAGAACTATTAGCATATACATTGGTTCTTTGTCTGAGGTTAACTTAACGTATAAATCCAACAATTCGACCAGTATTTAGTAAGTGGCAACATGTGACGATGATGGCGAAATGCTTTACTAATTTGTCGAAAAGCAACAACATTGCCTCGACCTGTAAATAACCAAATACATTGAAATGATCGCTTTGCGGTAATCATGTAAGCGGCCATTTTATTTTTAATGCACATCTTTCGAAGCAATGTTCAAATGCCACGTTACGCCAGAGCTAGAAAATGCTGAGCCAGCTTTGGCTAGTGAAGAGGTCTCTGTATTAGATAGAGCTTTTCGTAAATTGTCCTAGTAACTACTCATACAGCAGAACGAATTTTCCTACTCTGCGCACGGAAAATGGCCATAACATATTCTTAACATAATACGCATTAGCATAACAGATCGTCTCCAAAAATAGCTAGTCCCATTTATATAGAATTTATGAAAAAAAAAAAAAAAAAAGAAAAAAAAATTTGCAAATCCAAAGGAAGCTGAACTGAGGGAAAAATCGTTTTTAAGCTATATCATACTATGCAAATAGTGCTAAGCCTCGTCGGAAGCAAAAATCGCCCGAAATACTTTATACATTATCGCATCTAATATTTTATTCTGTTTTGACAACGCGCTAGCGTAACTAACGTGAGCGTAGTTATACGGTGCAGTGAAGAGAGTAACTAGAAAAAAACGGAACACAGACAAGCACTAATTTGAACGCTCCAATCTTCAGCCTAAAATAGAAATCGCACCGCATAAAGTATCGCCCTTTTGCAACGCGGTCCATTACCGCATTCTAACTTGCCTACATCTAGCTAACGTAACAAAATCATCAGTTGGCAAAACGTCTAGAAAACATATGCGAAAAAAACGAAACAAAATCCTGTCAAAATGGCGACAACCGCAATAAAGTACAAAAAACTTACACTCTTCATGGGCTGAAACCGCCGTCAATACTGCACAACATACCATAAACGGTATCGCGATCCTTGGCATCATTGACATTTACGCGTAAACATATAATTAACTTTCATTGCTAAAAGTTAAACGTTTGTAATTAGCTGCTGGGGTACACTTATAATTGTTAACGTATCTGTTATCTACCGTCATATATGGGTTCTTTCAGCTAAAGAGCAGTTGCTGCAAATGTCAACGGCCAGTACACACTTGTTACCACCATAATAACAGCTTCTCATTCGAGAGCTATCACCTTCCCCTATACGCGTCTATGGCTGTTCGTACAAGAGTCAACGAACCGAGTCAACAGTTGCGGTTGGAGTACTCCGTTGACTGGAGAAGTGATATGCGCACGCTAAGAGAGGGTACCTGCTTAGCCGAGTCTCGATTTTTCGAACAGTGATGAAATGAAAGGAAAAAAAAATAGAGGGAAGAGGGGGTGATGAGTGAAAAAAGCAGACTGAAATAATAGTCTCGCTCTCTCATTCCGATATGTGTAAGTCCTGTTTCTTTTTCCCTTGGAGAACGTTTCTTGCTGTCGTCGACATTGTTGTTATTGGCTGCTATTTTGTCTGTCGAAACGGGCATGTTAATACGGGACTCGATATCCCGCGAACGCTTATTGGAACGCTTTCTTCTACTGGCGTTCGGTCGACCGTCATTTGCTAACGTTGACGCTAATTATTAGCCACACACTTCGCGACGCGCTGTCCTAGGAGGCCTTTTTAAGCTTGCGTACGCCTCGCAAACGGCTCTGGTACTTTTGAGGGCGGATCACTTGCTAGTCAGTAGGAATTTACGCAGCTAGTTGTATACTGTTCAGCATTATCTCTTTGATCCTGGGTTTTGAAGTGCTGACTTTTAGTACGAATAGATATGTCCGCCTACTAATAATTGCAGTCCGGATTTTGCGTCATCCGCGCTCCTTCTGTTTGTGCCCTACCCTTTAGGGAGGTCGGCAAACGGATGGAAAACAGTGCGTCACCCTGACCTAGGGGATAGGCGGGCAGTGATCGCAAGCAAAGGTTAGCGGACCTGGAAGGTAGAGCAACGGTCGAAAGGAGCAGCACAGCAGCCAACGAAAGTGAAGATTAGAACACAACGAAAGGAAGACAGACGGCTGAACTTTTCCAGTCAAGCGGACGAAGCAGAGACAAAACCATAAGGAGAATAGAGTGGCGCAATGGCGGTAGTGATTACTGCTGACAGCGTTAACTTAGTCCAAAATTGCGCCGATAGGATTGAGCCACAGGTAAAAAACCGAGGAGTATAACCGAAAAGCGAGTTTTTATGTTGGCAATAACACCAGAGAATCAAGGACCACTATGCAAAACACAATATCAATACGTTTGTTTTAGCATATATCTACGTTTTATAATTACTTTTATAACTCTTATGTTTTGAGTTTTACGACCGGTATCGCCACTGGACATTCCATCAGACCGTTAGCTCCCAGCATGAAACGAAGCTCCTCTATGCCCGGGGTCAAAGCTCTCAGGTTTATGACCTAGAAATTGTCTAGATAGAATAGATTCTTAAATAACTTTAAGTATATACATTAAACTGATATAGAATAATAGGTGGAATTTAGTGTCTTATTTTATAAGCTTAAGGCGGATACAACGGGTAATATTAGTTCCATGGGCATAATTACTAAGCCAGAGTATTATCTAAATCCTTTTGTTAGGGTATACTAGAAAATAGGCGCTATAACATTTCAGGCGGATGTATGTACTACGAAACAAAATTACCAGAACAGCCTGCCGTAGTCAGATTTTCCCCACAGGATTACTGTTATCGAATAAACCTCCTCCTCCTCCTCATTGTGAGCTTGTCTTTCGTTGGCTATTTGAATTGGGAATGCTTATGCGTTCATACATTCTATCACATTGGAATTTATAGGTGCTATCTGCATGCATCATATGATGTCCGTCGGAGGCCGTATCATTTGTAAAGCCTTCGTTTCATACGCGCTTATAATTAGAATAAACAGAAATTCAGATGTTCTCTTTTTCAATATCCTCGCTTGACACAATCACGCACAGTTTAACACTGACTTACCAATTCGTCTAGTTGGTACCGCGATACCACACTACAACGGCTATTGCGCCCCTTTGTTGTACGAGAACTACCGGAAGAAGTTTACGATGATATGTCAGAGGAAATTTTTATACTAGCAGCGTTTTGCGACGGATATAGAAGGTGGGCGGGAACGGATTACGCAAAAGTAACAAAAGACTTGCCGTCATGCTCAAGTGAGCAGCTTGTCGGCTTGGGAGTGGGGAAAAGCTCATAGCAGCGTTATTTATTTGGACGCATGCATTCTATATACAATGCCTAAAAGCAAAACTGAGAAATTACTGGTAAGGTAAGCATGCAGGCGAGGCAGGCTGCCGCCTACTCTAGGCAGTAGCGGTACTTGTAGCAGTGTCCTGGTCTGAGATGCTTCGGGTCCCTGATAACTACAGCAGCAGCTGCATCCACTTTCGACAAGAACTTGTGCTGCTTCTGCTGTTGGGCTGCCGAGTAAATGGGTGGGTTCACGCTGCCCTCTATCGGATTGCCTATTGCGGGACCAAGGAGCTAAGCTGGTAAAAAAAAAAACTCCTGACTCTCATCTTTCCGCGCACACACTGTCATTGCGTGTTCAAAAATAACCGCAGACTTATGCATTGTTGCCCCTGCACTTATCCTTGACTTAACAACCTGGTAAGGTTGCCTCTGAGCGAACCTAGCACGGTTCTCTACCGTGGCGATCTGACTACGTAAATCCAGCTATGCCCTAAAAGATCCGTTTCTAACGAAGAGACACGGTGCTGCTCTATCGCATCGCTTCTGTACGCACTCTAAATAACTGCCATTGCCTCTGAAAGCTCACTTCCGTCGTTTCACTCAAAGTACAGGTTAGACCCGCTCTAGATTCCAACAACACAGGTGCATTAGTTAGAGATTCGTACTGCATGCGATAAAATTTGCATTTACATAGTAATTTACAAATAGATTTTGTAATGTTAATAAAATGTCAAAGTAGCGTTTACATATAAGTCGCGGATCAAACCTGAATACATAAACATGGGTTGCTTCGATTGGTACGATACACCCATTTTCATGTGGCTCGTTCAGTCTCCGTTTGTAATAAATCGAAACATTGGAATATAGTCTCATACAAGTGTGTATATGTAATTACTTGTGGGTATTTATTCAAAGTCAGCCCAGGGTCTATTTAATCGTATTTAAACCCCAGGGCCCAGGGAAGTATTTAATCGTAGGAAATATATTGTGGATCGTTGTGTTTATGGGTTATTCGAATGCACGAAATGTACGCTTACTGCCAGCTCTCAAAGTTATCTATTTTAATTAGTAAACTTGTTACGGCTATAAAACAAACGAACCCACGTAATAAATAGTTTAAATGTAAAAAGAATAAGGTCTCGTCACGTTTCTGCGCGGTTAAGTCTAAGTCGCCATGTATAGAGAGACGTAGCTCTAATTGTGTCCAATCGCCTTACTAATTCGGGTCCACCATTGAAATATCGTCTGTTATAAGGTAATTGTCTTCTACCGCGTAGTTTCAGAAATAGATTCTCGACAGAGGAGTAGTAGATGCAACAACAAAAGAAGTCGAAACCAAGTGAAAGGAAATGCAACCTGTAACAGTTCTCCAACTGACAACCCAGATTCTTGTGGATGATCGCGCTTTTTTTGATGCCCATTTTACCTTGATATCTTCCAGCTATAGCAGTCCTCGTAACAACAGCTGTGTCCTATAGAAAGGACGTACCAAAGGTGAATCTTTTGCCTAACGCTTAGTATTATCACGATCATGATCACATGATCGAAGACAGTGGTGCATCATTATGTTCTCTTTCTGCTCTTTCTCTTTTTTCTTGCCAAAGTAAGAGACTCTTGTTCTTCCAAGGATATCAACGCGGAGCGAATGCGTTTGGAAAAGGGGGCGTTTGTATGAGAAGCACCTCTGGGTTGACGGAAACGTCTAGCGAACTCTCTAATAAATTTGGTTACATAAATTTAGTGACATGTATGCATATCCTGTAGATACCTGTTCATATCATGCGCAAAATGATGTATCGTAAGCATTGGCTCTAGGTGTCAATTTTTTGGCTCTAGCTTGAAGCAGAGTATAAGATGTCTAAATTCTACGCGAAAACTCTTCAGAAACAAAGTACTAGCTTCAAAAAAAATTTAAGAGAACATGTTAAATATGAAGGCATCTGCTTTTTAACTGAGTTCGATATCGGGCATTTTCTAGCTACGGCTAGTCCATTCCTCTCCTCTCTTCTGATACCTATGGTTGACTTATTTTTCGTTGTTGTGTTGTTAATCCAGCTTTAAATCGTTTAGTTCACCTTTAAACGAAAGTTATCAATTCAACGAGCTATAAGAAGACTTGTTTGGACATGAGTTCCTGTTTACAGTTAGGCGATTTAAAGGTCGAAAAAGCTTTTGGCCGTGGAGAGAAATCATCTGTAAAAAAAAATACGAGTAAGAACGATGACAACGGACCTAGACATGTGTAAAGGACGAGTAACAGTAGACTGAATTGAGTCTATGTTCTAGTCGAAAGTTTCCGTGTACCGGCCGCAGCCTACCGTCCACAAGAGCTTACGCTCAGTTCATACGAGCCTCAGCGGAAGTTAGTTTAAGAGCGTCCGTTAAAATAGATCTTGTGAAGAGACTTTTTTTCATAATATAAAGTGTGCCAGACGTCTTCGCGTAAGACCAGCTGAACGTGGTGCTTTTGGGGAGACATCGTTCCAGGGGAAGTGATCCATTTCAGTTTCCTTTATGTTTCGAACTTCGTGACTCGAACCTAGGCCACAGCACTTCTTTAAGACTAGCAAGTGAATACGTTACCCACTAAGCTATCACTGGGACCACGATGGCCATAACGGAGCTGTCGAAACAACACAACAACATGTCGTTCAAAGAATAATAATTGGTCGGATAGAATCATTAAAAAACGCAGTCCCATTGGTTTAAACTCTCTAAAATTTCGGCTTTCTTGCTACGACTTAACAAAAACAAGCACAGACACGGCCTACTAATGGCTCAAAGAGTTTTATCCAAATGCGTGGTTGGAGAACTCTTTTCTGCTTCAAGAGAAATAATATGAATATAATCGGTATTGCCATAGATTACTCAGAAGCGGCATTTATTGGGTTTACAGAAAAATCCTACGTATAGAGTAAATGGTGTCCTTCTAGCAGTAAGCATGTATACTGAGTTAGGCTACCGAACAATGAATTAACTTGTGAAAAGAGTTAGCATTCGTCTAGGGTCCTGAAACAGGGGGCGCAGTACATAAAGCAGAGTCAATTTGAAACTAAACAGAGTCGAATCTATGGTGTCATCGAAGTTCTAACGAGTGTCTATATTGACTATGATAAGCTACTATATACTAACTTTAGCAGGTTGGAATCGAGGTGCTTCCTAGAATTGGTTAGCCATACTTCACGTCGGAACTCTCATTGAACTAGTTTCATGCTTAGGATGCGCAAAAACATATTAACTGTCGACTTGCGCCTGACACGGTCATATGGTTTGGGGTATATTATTTTTTATTATGCTTAAACTTAAATATGGTAGATATTGAAAATGCTAACTAGACCGAAATATGTGACAACTGCTGCCAATAAACGGGCAAGGTATTCTCACCATACAACTCCTCGGAGATAAAGTGTATAAAGTTTTGGCATAGGATCATTTGACATGAAGTCACATCTTGAGGGGTGTAATAGATCAACTTCACTTGATATGACGCCACGTGAAACGCAGACGAGCAGCTTGAGTCAAATA